CTGAAAAAAAAAAAAAAAAAACGTTCGTCTGTTGTTCAAATAATAATTATCGTGGCCTTTTGCGATTGGTAAGGTTATCCAAGATTTTTATTAATGATATCCATAAGACGTTCCACGTCTTATATATATATAAATAAATAGTTATTCGTTGCTCTATTTAATATTAAAATTATCATAAATTTTTATAGCGATATCTACAGCCTGTACAACTCGTTAATTGCTATTAATTTCTAAATTATTACGCAAGATGGCCACGGTATCGACTCGACTCCTAGGTAAGTACACACACAGATCGGTTATTTAATTTCGTGTATCGATTTACAAAGTAGAATTTCTATTTTTTTTACGAGTGTTTCGTTAGCGTTAGTTCGTTTCCATGTGTCGAATATTCGAGAGAGTAGGAATCGAGATTCATGAATGGATTTAGCTTTAAGACACTATTCTATGGTTTGGACGATGCAAAAGTACTAACACTGTGTGACAAAAGTTACTAGAAAACTTCTAGTTCCTTTTTACAGTATTCAGTTACGCGTAATGATTTCAGCCATTTTCGTGTGAATCATAGAAAGATGTGAGATAAATCGAAGAAAATTATTTTTATTTTTTTCAATTAAATAAATACGTTTATCACGCTTTTGACGTATAAAATAAAACAACTAATAGTTAATATACTTTCATTTTACTTTTTCACGAAATTAAAAGAATTATTTATTTCAACGAATTTTAAAATCCATCATTCGAAAATTATTAAAAAATTTGAGTTTTTTGAAATATTTGCCGTCTATTTACATTCCAAAAAAAAAAAAAAAAAATTAAAAATCAAAAGATATATAATCATAAACGTGATTATACAAAAATTTCTTCCTCGATTTCGCTTGGGAGGAAAAATTTGATACCTTGTTTTATTAAATTTTGCGAACAACGTTTAAACGTTTGATTTATACAAGGGCACAGAAGAATTTAATTACCGAATACTTTGCTACGATTAAATTCGTTCGAGTTACGCAATCTATCCGTATTTAACGCTCGAAGCTAATCGAAGAAAAGTTTTTCCCATCTGAAGATCTGACAGTTCGAAACTTCCTAAGTTTACGAGTTAATTTAGCCGAAAAGTTCTTTTATCGAGCAACCAGGTCCTTGTACTTTTAACTTTACTCCTTTAATCGACGTTTATCCCGCCCACATTAATTATTCCAATTCGC